TGTAACAGAGTAGGCGCCCTGCCCTCGAAATTAATACTACGTGACTTCTCTGCCTATACCAAAAGGTAAGCACAAGAATACTTAAGCAAGTATTCGTTGCGTAGTATAATATATATAGACAATAAAAGTGCTAGCCAGCTAGCTTTGCCTCTAACTGCTATGAGCGCTATGTCACGTGTCGTGTTCGTGCATAGTCGTTACAGTTCTAGGGTATTCTGTAGGGTTTAAGAGTGCTACATACTCTTATCTACAGTCGGTAGTAGTAGAGTACACAGGCACACTTTAAGCTTTAATATCACAGCCTGTAGATTAAGGGGGACCAAGCCAGCACCTCTAAATCCTCCCTAAATATTATCCTTAGTAATTAAGGCATTAAAAGCTCCTTTAAAGCATAGTAAGAACTTAACTTTAGTAATACAAGTAATCTTGTTGCGTATAAGCAGCTTAGTTTAGCAACTATAGGCTGTAGTGGTCTGGCCAAAGGCCAATAAAGGATATTTACTTCCTAACAACTACTACATAGGCCTTCTTTATTAGGGCAAAATAACTCACGTTAAGCAGCTACAACAGGTGCGATAAGTGAGGAGGCATACACAAGGTAATAATCTTGTGTTCTTTACAGTACTAGTAGAAATTGACTAAGTTGTGGCTCTTATAGCTGTCTAGAATAAGCAGTTAATAGCTGCTAATAGTGCGCCCCTTTGTGTGCTTATTAAAGTGCTTTAACTACTTAATACTAAGCTTATTATTAATCTAGCTATTCTTAGAGACAGTGATAACCTAGTTGTAAGGTATAGACAACTCCTTGTACTAGAGAGAGAGGTGGTGCTTGCCCTAGAAGATAACAAAGGGTAGGATACTCCATCCTAACGCGTTGATGCCCTAGATGATGCTAGTCCACTCTCGGTTGCCCTGCTGTACTGTCTTTGGCCTTCCTCAACGCTCAGAGCCTGTGATGTAACGGGCTAGGCCGAGGAGGTGCCTGCCCAGCTGTACCCCCGGTCAGGAGGTCACAATCTTGACTAATCGTGACACCTCCGCACTAGACTGGCGGATGGGTACCATGTACCTAGGGTTAGATATAGGTAGGGTATAGGTCGCACGGACG